CTGACAAGGCCGATCGCCTCGAACACCATACACCACCATCTCGTGCCGCATTTCCCCACTGCAGGCTCTACCTGCTTCCACTGATCTCCCCATTCTCACCAACACAATTTCGCTTAACATCAAACTCCTCGAGAAGGTGGTCCCAAAACCCACTTTAGCCCACCTCTCATCACAACAACTGCTAATGCAAGACTGCGCACAGCCATTGGTGTGAACTGCCTACTGGACAGAGTAGAGGCAGTTCAGTACACTGCTGCTTCCACCACCATGGTGCTTGCTCATGAAACCTTCGAACAATGCATCGTGGCTGTACCAATGTGTTGATGTGGAGCAGTTATTACGGGCACAGCCTCGAGAACAAGCAAAAGGCAATACCGGAGGAAAGTATAGCACTTGCCAGGTTGGACGGCATAGGCCACAAGGAGGTCAGCCTCAATGGGAATGCGTCGCAGACTGCTGAGCGTCTCCGAGTCACCTGGTCCACAGGAGCTGTCAGTTGACACCAACGTGCCCGAATCCAACAGCGTGCCTCGACAGGCCTGAAGTGCACCAGTGCATCGGTAAGTCTCAAGCTGGCATACCAAACAAGGGATCGAGCACACTCACACAGTCGAGAAGCACAATAACAGCCATTCAGCCGAACCATTGTACACACCCATGGGAACTGCAGTGAGGGTGTTGGAGGGTGATGAATGACAGTGACACCACTGTGACACTTGTTCTATTCAATTCAATTCCCACTTTACGCTTGTTACGCTACCTTGCCAACATGACCACCTGTGAAATGGTGTCTGGCAACGCCTTCACCACAGCTACGCTGACAATCGATTGGCTAGCCAGAGCCACGGATACAACAGACTCAACTCACTCCACCACTCACTCCATCAATTGCACCCACATGCTTTTGCAGCAACACCATCAATCCTCATGCCTCCTCATCGTCTCGTGCATCTCCACTTCGCATTGCAGTGAGGAGGAAAGAGCACTGACAAGCACTGCCTCAACTCTTGCACCCTCACCATCAAGTAAGCTCAGCACCACCCATTGAACCGCCAAGGTCGCAGTGGTGCGGTTGAGGCCACAGCAGCGCCCATCTGTGCATATGTGCACATACAAACAACCCACAAGTTGTCGCGAGACCAATCAAAAGAGGCCAATGCAGACGTGAAAAGTTAAAGTAGCAAGCATTACACTGGTCCGCGGAGTTATGTGTACAACCTGGTCCTACGCATGCCTCCCCTCAAACCAACATTGCAAAGTAGTTTCAACCCTCCATTTCACACAGTTCAGGAGGCCACGTACGCCTCCTCAACTGAGGCAGTGTTTGGAGGTGGTTTTTTCGCGATTTCATCTTTCCGCGTTGGAAAGGGAACTGAGAGTCCGTGACGTGAGAACACACAGAGTTATCGGGTGATGAGCAGTCCAAAGTCATCCAACTCCGCACTCCATACAAGCGTAGGTACTCAGAATATCGAGGTGCCTGTTTGTGCCATGGTGACCACTCGACTGTAACTGCATGAAGTTGGAGGCGCAAAGTGCCTCATGGAGGTAGTGTAACTGGTGCGTTGCGACGCATGGAAACTACAATGATCAACGAACCTCAAGCACTGCGAGATTTCGTACTAGTGGAGGAAGAGGGGAGAGCCCACACGCCAAACGTGTGAACGAGGCAATGCCCGCCCTGGGCATGGCTTCGACACCATCGCACAGAGACACGTGCACCTCAGAGGCAATTAGACCATGTAGTCAAAGTAGGTAGTGGGGATCGACTTGCAACTGATTAAACACACGAAGTTTGGACCTTCTGACGACCACAAAGGCGGATGTGACCTGACACACCTGGGGGCGTTAAA